CCAGCAGAACTTCTTGAACCGCGGGTCAGAAATAGGTACGTGAAATCGTTCATTTAACCTGTGCCGTAGTAAAATTGCAACAGAATTATTAGTGTAGCCTCGATGCCGATAGTTTGAACTGTACATCGTACATTACATCACCAGCATCCAATAGCTTTCCTAATAGTCAACTAAAAACTGTCAACTCGCCGGAGGTTGCTCCGTAAGTATAGTTGCGGGTCTTTTTTTTATTATTGCAGTTAGGTATACCGTGGTTTAAATATTCACAGGGCAAGTAAGTTAGGAGTAGGCGTGTACTGCTTTCGAGTCCCTCTGACCAGGTTTTACACCTGGTTATGTAATCCGCAAGTGTCGCCCTGGGAGCCGTACTCCACACCTACACGATCCCCGTTGTCTCCACCAAGCCTGTTCGCTGCGCCTTCCCCGTGATTTTCCCCTACATAGACTTCCTAGACGTAATTGGCGTTTTAGCCGATCTGATTTCGTCAGTCTATTTGTCAGAGCCATTTCTGGGACCATGGAGCCGCCATTTTAGCTTGTGGATTGGACCACGTGGATAAGTCAGGTTTTATTTTAAGGATAACCACAAGATTTTGATATCCATGCCAAATTTTAAACCTAATTTGTTCACATGACGTAACAATATTTAAATTTGCCTAATTATTGGATGTCTGATTATGATTCATTTTTTTGTGTAGGTTGGCGCCCTGTATAATATCTTTTTTTGTCCCTTAACGTTCTCCTCGAACTGCTAGTATATATGTTGTGAATCAAATACCTTAGAACCGACCCATTGCCCATTGCCGCCGCTATAAGAGCTGCCGTTCGCCCTTTATAGTTTGAACGAGAAAGAACGCTATAGTATATTATATTTTTTCATAATCTTATTCATTTTATTATCTTTTCACATTACATTCACGATGGAAACCTATGATATGAGAGTAACTTATTTATCTAAAAAGCAAATTGACTATGAGCTGAGAATTAGAGAGATTATTACTAAAAAAGATGTACATATAAAAAGGAAAATACTACGAAGATTATTATTAGACAAGGAGCAAGCTAGTAAAAAGGTTTATGAAGATAATGAATTTAATTTTGAAACAGAAAAGGGGGAAATAAATGAAACTTTCGACACTCTTAGATCACTATTAGATGAATTTGAAGGTCTGATTCAAGTTGTATTAGAATTAAAACTAATTTAATACATTTAATTCATAGAGTTAATCGAATAATAGTAGAAAACGATAATGCAGATTTAGCTGCATATATTTTAAATTTTAAATCAGAATCCAAAATTACCTGTTTAGAACTTGAAACGTTATTAGTAGAAAAAATACAAAAATCAGAAGTTGTTGATAATAGTCTGATTGCTAACACATCAGTAGTACCTAATATAACTGTCGCTCCCCATAATTGTCAAAACATTACAAAATCTGTACCTGTTTACAAATGGAATCTTAAATTTAATGGTGAAAAAAATAGTAGTGTTAAATCTTTCTTGGAAAGAGTGGATGAACTTTGCGCTTCACGCAATGTTAATAAAGATAAACTTTTTGCTAGTGCTTGCGATTTGTTTAGTGGTAATGCTCTGGTATGGTTTAGGTCTGTTAGAAATTCAATATATGATTGGGATGCTTTAGTCAATTTACTAATTAATGAATTTTTACCTAGCGATTATGATGATCAAATTTTTAATGAAATAAGAAACAGAACTCAAGGTCGACATGAGTCTATTAACATCTACGTAGCTATTATGCAGTCATTATTCAGTCGAGTAAATAAATTTGTTCCAGAAGTAACTAAATTAAAATATATTAGAAAAAATTTGTTACCTCATTTTATTAGTTAGCTAGCTCTGATACCTATTAATTCAATAACTGAATTAGTTAATTATTGTAAAAAAATTGATGAGGCAAACTATGTGAAAAATAATTATCGACCACCAACAACACATTGTTCATTAGAGCCTGAGCTATCTTATGCTAGTACTAGTAAAGATTCTGGACATGATATACAAAACCAGTTAGTTACTAGAACATTTTCACGTGGTAATAAAAGTTTTAAACAAATTAACAGGAAATACAATAGGGAGAGTGATAGTAGACATATGTCAGTAATTAATCAGAATCAGTCAAATATAAGCACTAATAAAAGTTTAAATTGTTGGAATTGTAACTTAGCAAATCATAGTTTCCGGGATTGTCGTGCACCAAAAAAAAGGTTTTGTTTTAAATGTGGAAACCCAGGAATGACTATTAAGACTTGTCCGTGCTCAAAAAACGCTTGATGAGGGTTGGAAAACCGTGCCATTTGCAATCCAAGCAAACTGTTAGGCGCTTCAAATTAACTAATGAAATCTTAGAAAAACAGAATGTAGAATGGGAAAGTTGGCTCATCAATGTTGCTAATTTTTATAAGAAAAATATCAATTTATCTCCACTTTTTATACAAAAACCGTGTGACAACAGACCCTATATCAAAGTTAAAATATATTATACATTTTTGGTAGCCTTGTTAGACTCTGAAGCAAATTTAAGCGTTTTAGGGAGTCAATATTTACCGCTTTTGGAAAAATTTAATTTGAGCTTGGACAAAAATAGTGAGAAATCAGTAACAACTGCAGATGGTAATATACAAAAGGTTTCGGGTTGTGTTTATTTACCAATTTCCATAGGAGAAGTATGCAAAGTCATAAAAGTTTTAGTAGTACCTTCACTAAAGCATAAATTAATTTTAGGTAGTGATTTTTGTAGGGAGTTCTCATTAAAATTAATTTTTCAAAACAATTCTTTTTCAATAAATATTCAAGATGTTGAAATTTGTGAAATAGATAAGAATAAGGTTGGAATAAGTAATGCGTTATCAAATCATTATAAATTTACCGTTGACCAACAACAACAAATAGATGCAGTAATATAATCATTTAAAGATATTTCCTCAGATACCAGATTAGGTTGTACACATAGAATTTCTTTGGACATTGATACTGGGAACGCAAAGCCATTTAAAATCAAACAATACCCTATGTCTCCGTTTATGTTAAATATTTTGAATGCAGAACTAGACGAGATGCTCAAGTTAGGAGTAGTAGAACCTTCTCAAAGTCCATGGTGTTCACCTGTAATATTGGTAAAAAAGAAATCGGTAGAGTATCGTTTCACTTTTGATGGTCGTCATTTAAATCGAGTTACTAAACCTGATGCATATCCATTTAATAGAGTAGACAGAATTTTAAGCATGTTACGTGGTACTAAGTATNGCCATTCAAATGGCTACTACGGTGGAAGCGACCTGCTAAAATTTGCCAGGTACTTTATTGCACGAGTGTCGCCTATAGAGGGCGAAACACAATGTAAGTCGTCAGTGCCGCGAAAAACAACTACTCCGAGGGCTATTTGCCCCTACCGGCATTGAATTACATTCGCGACACCCAGTACAACAGCTAGGATCGTTCATCAGCTGGTCCCACCAGGCACAGACCGGTTTCGGACTTATTAGTCCTCATCAGTGTGTCATAGGTAGGACAACCGATGAACGATCCAGCTGCTAAAAGTCGTAAACTCCCAACAAGAGGTACATAGTACGCGAAGCACAAAGTTTTCGTCCAGTTTTCTTCGCCTCCTCCAAACAATAAACATACAAACAAAAAAAACTAATTACACCATATTAGATATATTTAGAGTATCACTAGTTAGCTTTAAGAGAGCACTTAAAACAAACAACATTCTGTTAATACAGATAGTTACATTATTGTTATTTATTGTATTTTATTAGTGTATTTATACTGTATCTATACTGTAATATGTATGTGGGTGTATGCATATGTATGTGTGTACCTATATATGTGTGTATGTGCTTATATGTGTGTATGTGTATATATGTATATTTAGTGTACATTGTTTTGGGCTCTTAGCCAGCCTGTTTATGTTTCGTTTTCCTAAATAAATAAATAAATAAATAAATAAATAAATAAATAAATAAGAGTTGCGGAGCTGCAGAACACATAAAATTTTATGTATTTAATCATATCAACAAAACATTTAAAGAATCCAAATGGAGCTTATATTATTTATTACGACGCGAGCTACGCTCCTTAATATATGCAACCTCATATACAAAATGTGTGCACAGCGAACAGTTAGATGCGTCCTTTGTTTTTATTGGCTAATCAGGCATGTGACCCAGTACACAAACATAATGGGCTTATGTGGCTGCAACAGCGACAGCCACTGCTGCAGTAAATGCAGTAATATTTCGTACGTGGCGTGTGGTGGTTTATTTCTGTGAGCGGCACGTGTTAATATTCTCGTTTAGGCGTCTACGGATATTATAGTTATTAAAATGAATAGCGTTTCGTTTTTACAAAAAACTTTATTTGGTTCTCTGCCTTATGAGGATAAACTAAAAATAAAAGAATTAGATGGGCCAACACCACGATTAAATATTGAAGTTAGTGGAACAAGCCGAAATAAAAGTTATAAAAGACAATTTAACAATAATGTATACCTACACAAAAGCAGAGTGGGCGTGCGGGTGTGATGTAAAAAATACACTGTTTTGTTTTTCGTGTTTACTTTTCGGTGGGGATAAAGCATGGACAATATACGGTGTGAAAGATTTAAGTAATTTAAGTTATTAGGTAAATAAACATAAGAAGTCAGTTAGATTCTGCATATTGGGATAATATACGGAAACACAATGAACAGGTAACGGAAAATCGTTATGTATTATCTAAAATCATAGATTAGGTACATAAAATTTTGCGGAGCTTGCGAATTAGCACTTCGCGGACACGACGAGACAGAAAATTCGGACAGCCCTGATGTGTTTCGTGGACTCATAAATTTTAGTGCAGATCTTAACGACATATTAAAAGAACATTCCACATGGGCATGACCGGGATTTTCTGTGAAAAATCAACAGTATATCGAGCCATAAAACAGTATAAATCTACTGGAAGGGTGTCTACTTCCAAATCCTGTGGTGGAAGACCTGGGATTGTTACATGTTTGGATGAAGCAATGAAGAATTCCATAAGGCGTATAGTACACAGCTTTTTCTTTAAAAATGAGATCCCCACTTTGGACAAAATATTAACCGAAATAAAAAGTCGTCAGGATTTGCCACAGATGTCCCGTTCATCATTATACAAATTTATGAAACAAATTAATTTCAAGTAAGGTTGAAGACATATCTCGGAGCAAGTATAATTGCAATAAAAACATTTTATTTTTTTTGCAGATACTTAAAACGAAGTCGTAAAAGTGTGTTGATAGAACGTGATGATATAGTGAGATGGAGACTTGACTACTTGATATCAATTAAAAAGTTTAGATCTGAAGGTAGACCTATTTATTATTTAGATGAAACATGGTTAAATGAAGGTCATACAAAAGAAAGGGTATGGGTTGATACTAATATTAAAAGCAAACGTGAGGCGTTCAATGAAGGGCTGTCTACGGGATTAAAAAATCCGTCCGGTAAAGGAAAGCGTCTTATTATCTTACACGCTGGCTCAGAGGAAGGATTCGTTGAAGACTCGTTATTGGTTTTCGAAGGCAAAAAGAGTGGGGATTATCACGAGGAAATGAATGCAAATGTATTTGAAAAGTGGTTTTCTGAATTTTTGAAAAAAATACCAGATAATTCTGTTATTGTAATGGACAATGCATCATACCATAGTCGAAAAGTAGAAGCTATTCCGACAACATCAACAAGAAAAATTGATATGAAGGCATGGCTGCAATAAAAAAATATCGAATTTGAAGAAGGTATGGTGAGATCGCAATTATTATATTTAATTCGCCAAAATAAAGATAAATATAATTTGTATATAACTGATGAAATGGCAAAAAAAGAAAATAAAGTTGTGTTACGATTACCGCCATATCATTGTGAATTAAACCCTATAGAATTGATTTGGGCACAGGTGAAGAATGAAGTGGCAAGCAAAAATAAAACATATAAATTGAAGGACGTAAGGGAACTACTAATAGAGGCTCTTAATAATGTTACAAATATGAACTGGAAAAAATGTGTAGAACATGTGATTAAGGAGGAAGAAAAAATGGGAACACTTGACGGAATTATGGACGATCTCATTGAACCTTTAATTATATCAATTAATAATAGCGAGAGCGATATGGATACTGACTCGTCGAATAATTCAGAAAATTAGAAAGATAGAAATGCAACAATTCAAAGTAACAAAAACACCATTATATAATTACTCCAATGCTAGATGTAAAAATGTGAATCAATAAAATTGTTTTTAAAAAGTGAAAACTGGAATCATTTATATATGTTTGGTTCGTAGTATATTATTTCATTCATATTCAGTTTTTCAATGTTATGTAGGAAGTACCTCCTATTTTAAAAAAATATATATAAAAGTTAAATAAACCTAGAATTAGATATTTATTCATTGCACATTATTTTGAATAAGGTACTTAATAACCTCATTTAAAAGTAATGAAAGCTTATTGTACTCAAAATGAGGTTAAACACTTGCAGTGAGTATATACTTGATAGTCTGATGCCACAGAAGTTTAATCCAGTTTTATCTTCTGTGCTGATTCTATCTGGGGTAGTTTTTAGTAACTTTTGCAGTGTAAATTTGTCTTTGGCATTCACTCCTCTTAGTTTAAAAATAGAGTATAATAATTTTATACCCACTAATTTCAAGTTTTCGTCATTCCAAAAAAAAAGTAGTATTAGAAATTGACGTAGGTCTTGGTATTGTCTAGTAGTCTAGTATATAAAGACATGACTCATTTTATCGCTGTAAATTACGCTGTAAGTTTTCTTTTAATGTTCTTAAATGAATGTATGGTGATGTCTATCTAAATTAGTTCTGGAACTATAACAGGTATATGCGAAAAAATAAAAAATATTAGGCCTACCAAAAAATTTTGTAATTGACCATTCCAGATGGTTGGGGAATTAATGTATCATTCTATAAATCGCATGTGTCGTCGCCGGGGGTATATTCGCTCTGCTTAAAAAAAATACGCATCTCGATGCGCATCATATTGTATACACTATAGGGCGTTTTCACTTATACCGACACCGGCACGACATCAGCACAGCATCGTTGCCGACACAAAATCAGCGACGACGCGACGCAAGTGGAGTAGCCTGTCACGACTCGATACCGATATATCGGCGAGTCTGAAAACATGACCATTTATTTATGAGATTACGCATCCACCGGCATCGTTGTCGTTGTCGTGCCGGTGTCGTGTCGGCCAGTGTGAAAACGGCCATACACGGCGGCAGATCTACAGCTTCAGAATCAGAAGTAATCTATGCGAAATGTCCGCACCGCAGTCGCAGCGAAATATTCGCGTCAAAACGTTTCCTATGAAAGTAAATAGCCATAGCTGTACCGCTGCGAAGATATCGCGATATTAAATTTATTCGCCGCGAAAATTTCGCTGCCACTGCGAATATTTCGCGTTAGTTTAGGGAGGGGATTCATTAAGAGGGGAAAGCAGATATTCAAATAATCAAATTCCAAATATGAATGGGGTTGTCTCACATTTGTTTTTTATTATTTATTTGCATTCAGTATGTTTCAAAAATTATTGAAATTTATCGAAGACTGGGAATTGACGTCACAGCGAGAGACCATAATTTTAAAAAGGACGAAAAATGTTTTGTGGCGAAGACAAAATGGTAAAAAACAAAGATTTAGTAAATATTCTTGTGATATCAACTACATGGAAAAACTAATGGATATTGCGTTTCAGATAGATATAAAACAAAATGCTTGTTTTTTTTTAATGGAACACCCTGTATATTTATCGTTTTTTAAATTCCTCTATTTTTTCCGATTACAGCAATATACCGGATATATAATAAATAATTAAAATTAAACTAGATAAAAAAATATTAAAAATAAATCTAATAATATCAAGTGTTATCTATAATTTCTACTCACACAACGATGGTATACCCCCTTTTTAGTTTTGAAGATAAATTATTGCAATTTGGGACATCGTATTAAACTTTGATGATTTTTCAGCCACTTCCGATTTCGGCGGAAATGACAGTAACTTACAAAATTCTTGATGATCTGAATCCACATAAGTAATATTTGAGAGGTATTTTTTTTTCTATTTTAATTTTTAGTTTTCCATTTAGGTGCGTGTTTCAATTTACTCTAATCGACTCATACAATGCTGCAAAAATCATAATCCCGTCAAAAATACTAAACGATGCAATTTATTAGCAAATAAAGTTCATCGAAGAGTTTTTTGGGACGTACATATTTTTTTCAAATGAAACTATCTTTTGGTGGCACACCCTTAAAAATTATAGTAGTACTTAAATTAACGCACGTTAAAGTTCGTCCTTTATAAATAATCGTGGTTATCTTCAAAACCGTTGAAGATAAGTATTGGAAACCTCTATGTCAGTCGACGCAGAATTTAATTCTACATGTTCCTGACTGATAAAATTGTTATTGTTCCATTTGAAAAAAATTAGTTTTCTATCTTTGAAAATTACCGTGTTGGCCGCAAAATTTTGAGATCAAATGTGACACATTTTCGATGAATACATAACAGATACTACACAGTAATAATGGAAGTATGTCCTGTCCAGTTATACAAATGGTAGAGATATTTAATATTAATCGCGACGTTTCATCTATCAATTTTTTTTTAAAAAACCTAAATATCTCGAAAACGAAAACCACGTGATGACAAAAATTAATCAAAATAACTCATAGAATCGATGAGTGTTATAAATAAAATGGGGTATTCCATTTAAAACAATGGAGATGACGTCACTTCCGGTGAAACCGGAAGTATCCCACTCTTGAAAGTATTTCAAGACTAAATTGAACACTGTCAAAATTTTAAATTTCCATTGTAACTAGAAGTTTAAATACTTTTAATGAACGGGTTACGTGAAAAACCCTAAAGATTAAAAATTAAAATTTAAAAAAAATTGTCTTACTTTTCATTAACAAAATATTATGCAATGTGTCTAAGCAAACATGTGACATATTCTTATGTATATATTTCTGTAATCAGAAAAAGTAGAGGAATTTAATTTTGTTTATATGTATCTTTAAAACGCAACATTCAATTGTTTTTTTATATAATTCCTTGATATCATATGCGTTCATAATTGTTTTTTATGTATTTATGAAGCGGCTTCGCAATTTATTTTGCACCCGGCCCTGTTATTGCTATACTGAAATTAATGAATTTAAAATATATATCTTGCTTAAATTACACACATATTGATTTAACTAATTTTACCTTATTTAAATAATTTCTCAAACCCTAGATAAAAACTCAAACCGCATTAACTGAAGCTTTTTTGTCGTATCTGCCGGTAGCTGGTATTTTACTAATTTCCATGTCACGTGATATGAATTTATTCCGTTTATTCTATCTACCCTGTCATTTCATCTCAAGAAAATTGTATTTCCAAATATCTGTGTAATAGATCATTTAACTATTGAACATAAGATGGCGCAGTATCGAAAGTGTAAAATTGAACGTGAACGATTAAATATCAAGTTTACATACATATGGCTCCTCCTTGTAACGAATTCGAGAACCAAAATTTGGTCAACTATTCGGTCATAAGAAATATAATACTATATTTGCTTATACAATGCTACAGCTTATCTGTGGATGCTCAACGTCGGGGTACAGCAAAATGGCGGAGCAGTTTGATGGAACAGCCGGTATAATGCAACAGCTCCCTATTTTCTACAATTTCCGAGTCGTACGATTTGTAAGCCAGTCAGCAAGTATTCACCTCTCTGCCGCAACTATTGGGTGTAGATATGACAGGTTGAAAGGATGCACAATGCACCAGAATATGCACCATGTACTAAAAAGCCCTAAAATCGAGATTTACGCCACTGTTAAGGTCTAATCGATCGCGGGGTATTGTTAATTTCACGAATCTTGTCTATAAGTCGAGCCTGCAGATGGTTTAAATCAGGAATAGGCAGTTCAAAAATAGTGTTTTTAAGGTAAGGCCACAAAAAGAAATCACACGGCGTAATATCACATGACCTCGGTGGAAATTCATGTTCAGCATTGAGACTTATTAGTCGATTTTGGAAAACTTCCCTCAACATATTCATCGTCTCGCCTGCCGTATGTGCCCTTGCGCCATCTTGTTGAAAGTAAAAGTTTGTAATTTCGTTTTCTTCCAGCTGGTTAACAAAAGGAGCGATAATTTCTTCTCTATACCTTTGCGCAGTAAGAGTACCATTAAAAAAAATAGGTCCATAAATCCTCCTTCGATTGAGAGCACACCAAACT